AAACACATGCATAAGAATGTATTTTCTCAAATTCTTCTGTTTCCCGTCATCAAACTAGACTTGGCAAGAGTACGGAGGCTTCACAGAAGCAGGCTGTGGCTCCAGGGCTGTGGTGGGGCCTGGCTACCAGAGGTGTTTCTCACAGAGCAAAGGACTCTCTGGAGCTGTTTGTATCTGTAGCCAGGATGGAGGACTTCCCGATGAATGGGGTGGTGTGAGGTATCTGCTGCCACGGCCAGGAATTACTAAATGAGGCACTTGAAGAGTTTTCTAAAACTGGGATATTCAGGTGCCCCATATTCCATTTCTGAGAGTCATACTAAATGAAACTGGGGTGTCATTTTTTTTATGACATTTGTCATCAATAGATACTTCAGAAGAGAAAACATGAATCTTCCCAAAAGGAAGAAAGAACAGTTCTTCAGAGGAGTGTCTTTTTTGTATCTTAAATGTCAATGATCACAAAAACTTCTGGCTTCTCTTCATTATAGACCTGCATCGCCGAATATGTTATTGCCTTGACTTCGGTTCCCTAAAGTTGAGGACACAGTGAAAAGGGGGAAAAAGTGATACTGACATTAAAATCATTTTATCAAAATGATTTTATTGGTGTAACCACTATGGAAGGCAGTATGAAGCTTTCATAAAAAGTTGCAAATAGAAATACCATTTGACCCAGCAATTCCACTACTGGTAACTGGGAATATAACCTAAAGAAACCAGAACTGCCACTCAAACAGATATATGCACACCCATGATTATTGTGGCTTTGTTCACAATAGCAAAGAGGTGGAAACAACCCAAGTGCCCATCAACAAACGAATGGATAGAGAAACTGTGGTATATTCACATAAAGGAATAGTATGCTGCACTGAAAAAACAAGAAACTCATGAAATATTATACAAAATGGGTGACCCTAGAGGACATTATGCTAAGTGAAATAGCTCAGTCATAAAAGGACAATTACTGCATAATATCACTGTTATAAACCAGGACTGATGTGAGGGTTGGGGGGAAACTAAGGAAAAGGGGACAAATAATGTATATTGCATTGAAACAGATGAGGGAGAGAACTATTTAGGGGGAATATATGATTAGTTGTATTGTCATGACAAGTGTACAGAATGAAAGCTGCATAGTGGAGTGGACTAGGGTGGGGATGGGGGCATTGTATAACAATGAAGGATTTTTTTTTTCAAAGAGAAAAGCGAACTGGGGAGACGGGTAGGCAAGGAGGAAAGTGTGCAACAATGAATGAATAAAAATCAAAGTCTGTAAACTTTCATTTAAATAAATTTAAAAAAAGAAATTATTTTATATAAAATCACTCTAGCAACAATTAAGAGATAAGAAGCACTAAATATCTTCTTAGGCTAATTAACTGACATCCCATGAAACCATGATCCTAACCTTCAGAGACAAAGCCCAAGAAGTGTCTGATTGTACATAAACCACCTCAGCAGTTACTCATTGTTGTTGCTGTAAATAGTTCTATCACATAACAATTGTCAATTCAACTCTTCTATAAATAACAACTTACTGACAGCAATTACAATAATCAGCTGTTTAATCTTATCCCTAACTAGTAAGATCTTCCCCTAATTATAAGCCAAAGCTCAGTTCAGTACTCCATAAACATTAGTTCTCTCTTCCTGCTCCGTATCAACCACTAATATACCAAGAGCTCTATACATTTGCCTTTTCATCTTTTTATATAAATGAAGTGACACAATATTTGTCCAATATTCAATGTGGCTCTGTTAAACTCTTTTATTTCCCTGCTTCAAAAATTAGAAAGCGTCAGTGCAATTAAGTAAGTTATTAATAGAGTCGCTTTGAGTCGTATTCAATTGGCAGCACCATGATAGAGGGAGAAGAGATTGAGGTTGTTAACAATTACAGCTTGCTTGGCTCCACAGTCAACACTCTCGGCACCAGCAGCCAGGAAATCAAAAGATGAATTGCACTGGGAAAATCTGCTATCAGGGACCTCTCCAGAGTACTGAGAAGCAACGATGTCAATCTAGAGACTAAGATGCACCTGAACCAGACCATGGTCTTCGCAATTACTTGCTATGCATCAAAGAGCTGGACAATGACTAAGTAAGACAGAAGAAGAATTGATGTCCTTTGAGTTGTGGTGCTGAAGAGTCTTGAACATACCATGGACTGCCAAGAAAACAAATAGGTCTGTCTTGGAGAAGTTGAAACTAAGTTTCTCCCTGGAGGCTAGGATTCTGAAGCTCTGATTCACTTATTTT